CAATCTTCAATGACACTCTTCAAATTTCTTAACTAAAAAATTTTAATAAAACTGATAGATTGCAACAACTTAAGGTAAGGGCCGTAAGGACTGTCTACTCTTGAATCTAATTGCATAGAAATGTGTTGTCAATTTATAAATAATGTCCATAATGAGAAAATTGTTTCAATAAAATATTTTGTATTTTAAAATATATATTTATATATATTTAATATTAAAGGACTATTCGCAAGAAATAGGTGTTGATTCCTTTACTTCCCTTACCTTATTTAATTTTTGAAAAATAATAATACTATAAATATAAATGAAAACAACTCAAAGTCAAAGTCATCAAAATTTTTCAATTAAAAAAAAACAAATTCATTTATTCAACATGTGTCCAAACTTATATGGGGGAAAAATACATCAAACTGAATGAGCACACCAAATAAAAAAAATTCAAATAAACAAAAAAAAAATATTGTTCATAGGTGGATAAAAACATGAAAAGAAAAATTGGATTATTAAACAATGATAAATTTTCATTGAAATAAAATTCAAAACTTCATCTCAGTTCAGGTATTTAATCTAAATCTATTCTAACATCATTTGAGTCTGTACCATTTTATTTGTGCTTAATTTCCTATGCTCAATCTATTATTATTATTCCTATTGATATAACTATGCCTGCAAGAAACATAAATAAAAAATAAAAAGAATCACCGTAATTTAAAATAAACCAATATAAGATGTAATTATTTCAATCATAATAAAAAGTGGCAAGATTCTTGTGTGACAAATGATCAAATCAAATTGCCTTAATAATTTTTAAATACTCTAAAATAAAAGAATAATGTCTGTAAAATTATTGCCGATACAAATACTTCTTAGGTTACAGTAGCTTGGGTAAAAAATTTGATTTAATATGCTGGTAAAATAAAAGTTGTAAACTTCAACTATTTAAATGATGATGAAGCTCAAATTCTGAAACATAAATAGGCAAGACTAAATATATATATATATATATATATATATATATATATATAAACTTTGTAAGCAAATAATGGTCCATTCCTGGCTTCTTATCAGATACTAAAGCTTAAAACAGCTTATGTTATTAATACAAAAATATATATTTATTATTTTATTTGTTTAAAAAAAAAACATTTTTTTAACTTATTGAAAATTCTATTCTATATGAAATATGATATTGTAGAAGGAAAATAAAAATGCAGACAGTAGAAAGATAGGACAATGTCTGGGCACAAAAAAATTTATTGAGGACAAGCAGGTGGAAAAAAGGTGAGACATAATAAGTAAGAGGAGGGTGAGGGAAGGCTGAGAATTCATATGTTAACAAACCAAGTATTTACATGCACCAGGTATACAAACCTGGCCTGTTTACAATCTCCAGTAGGTATAACTGGCAAAAACTGTACAAAGGCATCAGAGAAAAATACTGACATGATTGACAGATGTCATAGATATGAAGTTGACATAACTTTATCATGGACATACCACAGGACGGCAATAAATAACATAGAATACGATTGAACTATTACTGGACAAAGCTGTGACATAGACCCAACAAACTCTGACATTATGACAAACAAAAAACACTGACCCGACTACGACATACAACATAACAAACACTGATATTATTATTATGACATACAATACTGTTGCAGCTGACTCTGTCAGGGATGTAAATACTATAATTACATATACATGCAACCATAATTATATAGATTACAGTTCTGCACTTATAGCCTAACAAATCACACCTAAAAGTATGTTTGTTACTTATATTCTATGATATTTATACTATTACAGCAATACGCTCAAGCCAAATCATCAAATAACAATAAATTCTTTGGAAAATATTTTTTTGAAAATTAATCCGTGGATACCCGGTTCATTTTAAATGTGCCCTGATTATCTCTAAACCTTTAAAAAAAGTTATTAGAACAGTAAATTGTAGCATTTCCTTTTCAAAACTCTAGTGATATCATAAAACTGACATTTCAAAATTGACAAATAAATTAACTCTACATCCAATAAATAAACAGATACAAAAATAATGTGCAGGGGGATGTTGTATAAATTATTGCAGAAATTAATATTGGGCAATGTGTATGCAAATAAAAATGTTAAAAATTAACAACAATCTCTTCCAGCAATACTGAGTGAGCATTTTTTAAAAATATATGCCATACAAAAATTGGTACTAATAATTGAGTTTATTTTTTTGTTGAGTGGTCACTTTCTGATAAACAAAATTATAATATGGTAAATAGGCCAATTAAATAACATGAATTATAATATACATATTATATATTTGAATTTCCCATACCTTTTAGGTAAAATACTCAAAAAACTTCTTACATTATTTTAAAAAATTCATTTTTATCACAATCCTCTGACACATTGAATTGTCCATATGTTATTAAATGTATTTAAAAAAGTAGTTTATTTTTGCTACTGTTTTGAAATAAAATGGTGTGCCCATTTCTCTCCTCTCCCCCTATTAAACAAAAAAAAAAAAAAAAATTAAAAAAGTAGTTTTTTTTTGCTACTGTTTTAAAAAAAAATGGTGGCCCCCCCCCCCCCCCCACCCCTATAAAAAAAACCAAGAAAAAAAATACACCTAAGTCTAAGTGTGCAAGTTTGTTGATGTTTTTTTTAAAAATATCATTAAAAAAACTTATCACAAAACTAGTAACAAAAGATGATGAACATTGAAGGTTAAAGGCCAGTTTCAACAACGATAAAAGCTTTAATTCAATAAACCTGGTCCAAGTTGCATGAAGGCTCAACTCTCCCTCTCGTATATTACTTTACAAAAAAAAAACACAGGCTAAAAGAAGCATCATAATGATAATACTAAAAGATGGCCATTCCAGCAAGTAAAAATAATGTACAGTGCTTCAAAATATTTGTTCACTGAAACAGCACGTATCTGTACATTTTCACACAAAAGTTAGTCAGTCAAGCCTGTAAGTAATTGTTAAAGTCATTTTTTTTTAAGGCATCGTCTTAACCATTACGATTTATTTTACATTGATTAGTGCAGCTAGCCTAATATTGTTGGGCCTTCTCAGTTTCTTTAAGTTAATTGTGAATTAAAGTTAAAGACAACATCTCTTTTGTTTAAAGGGGCCACCCCCCCCCCCCCCCCCCCCACACCAAACCCAAAATCAAGCACTAACCAGGTTCAGATGCATGCCTGTATAAAAGACTTAAACACAGTTCTTTACACTATTTGGTTAAATAATAAAACACAACGACCTCAGTTAAGTAATACAAATCTTGATAACACTGTTAGAAACATTAGAACTTGGACAAATGGTGAAGAAAATGTTCCTGAATGCATACGGAATAAATTTGTGGATAACTTCCCGTAATCACTAGGATAATACTGTTATGTTCCAATGTACGTCATAGGTCCCAGCTTTACTTTGAGGTATACATAAATTAAAAATTCATCAAAGCGGAAAGCATTAATTGGATGCATGGAGTTGAGTTTTAAATCTTGTGGAAATATTTTGTCGCGAGAAATTTCCGAACACAAATCTTACAAAATGGCATCTTTCAAAAAAAGCAGGCACGCACACATGTTAAAAAGCTTAATTTAAGGAATAGTAACAAAAGAATTTTTAAAATTTAAATAAAAATTGTTTTGATTTTACAAGACAGTAAAGCTTTTTTTTTTCTTTTTTAAATTAGTTAAAATGTTTCTGAAACAGGAAATGGTATCTCAAGCATATGATCACTGCAAGGAAGTTGTAAAGTAGAGAAATTAAACACCAGATAGAGATATCTTGAAAAACCACAGAACACCCCTCTGTGTTGGACTAATATTGTTTTCTTATTTGACCCATTATATCTCATTTGTTATGGGCTGCGAGGAATTAGTCTAGTTTTAATTTTACAGCTTATTTTTTTGTTAATTAAACATTTTTTTTAGGCCAAGTCGGTTTTTGGATGACATGTTTGTTGTTTCGCTGTATTCTTTTGTCATGTTTTCCCTTATTGTGTGCTTCTCATTTCATATACATTGCACACTGGCCTGACCTTATTGTTATTGTTTATTCAGCTAATTGTAGTAGTCTGCGCCAAAAAATTTTTTATTTTTTTTTCATCTTCAGCTGTCCTTGTTTAACTCAAGTTCAATGTTGAGGAATGCTGGGAAATTAAAATATATAAAAATTGTAAAAAATGACGAGATAGTGCTGGGAAAAATAGCCATAAAGTGTTCACAATCGCTTAAGACAATTTTTTGAATTATGTTATTAACACTTAAGAACAGCCACACGCAAAAAAATATGTCAATAAATTAAATTTATACGCACCTATGTTCATCATCACTAAATAGAGAAAAAATTATAAGTTATTCAAACAAAAGTCTTTCGTGTACATTCTCAGTGAAGTATTTGTGGTTTGGACAGACTTCCTATTGTTCAACTGGAATGTCCAAGACTTTCACATTAATTGTTTGATTTTTGTTTTGGTGTGCAGTAAACAAGCTTCTGAAAACCTTTCAACCACATTTATTAAATGGATAGATTTCTTTATAACAGAAATGTTCACACATTTACTCTGCACCTCATGTGTGGACATCTTTTGTATCCTTGGGACGCAAAACGCTCACATGATTTTTCTACATCATCAATGTCTGAAAAGAACTTCTGCTTCAAGTCTTAGTGCTGCACTCAAATTAGGATCAATCAAATCTCACAGCTGTAGCCTGGGTAGGCCTAATATACAATAGCTGAATGCCACATTTGAGCACAGAGCAGCTTTGAAATGCAGTTAGTCTGAGCGAAAGGATGTCTCAATGTGCACACCAACAGCTTCTCACTGTCCACGCAGAAATAAGACACTTTCTACATTCAGCTGGTCAATTCAGGTGAAGAAAAAGATACATTCCTTAGAATTTCAGGCAACAGGCCGTTTCAGTTTCAAAGCTGTGTGACAACAGATTCTCTTTCAGACCTGCGTCGCGTCAGACCTGCGTCGTGTCAGACCTGTGTCGTGTTGTTCAAGTAGGGTGGGGGGAATCTGTATGGGGGTGGGTCAGACTGGGACTGCCAGTAGGGAGGGGGCTGTTTAGGATGACGTTTGTCCGACCCCCCTGACTTGGTAGAAGTCAGTGTGCTGTTCCTGGAGCCGGCCTCCTCTTCGTCCAGGTAATGATTGTTGGGCCTGTCAAACGACAGGGACGACGAGGCACTGACCCCGCTCATCCTGTCTTTGTCCCTGCTGTGCTTCCTGCTGTCCTTGTCCCGGTGGTGTTTCCTGTGGCCGTCCCTTGAATGTCTACGAGGCTTATCTTTGTGCTCGTCTTTCCTTCGGCTATCCGCATCCGCCCACTCTTGGTCCCTGGAGTCACGAGACCTTCCGTCTGTGTCGTCGTCCCTCTCTGTTTTTGGTGAGGTCTGGGGAGTCTCTTGATTTGCCGGGTGGGGGTCGGTCGGTAGCAGCAGGGGGTCCTTGGCCTGGAGCACTGGATCATCCCCATCCATCTCATCAGGGAATATGATGGGGTTACGGTCATTAGATATTGCCTCCTTCTCTGCATTGATGACGGCTTGCCTGTGCCTCCGTCGCCGGTTGCAGAAAATAATGATGAGGATGATGAGTACAAAGACTAAGAATGCTATCATCACTGGCAGGATGACATGGGCCCAGATGCTAAATCCTGGAGCTGAAAACAAACAATGAATGAAAACGGTTTATTTGCCACTTGCAAGGACGTCAGTTTTTTGATAACTGAGTATCCGTGAAATTTTGTGAGTGAAAAATGTGTGTGTAGTTTACACTATATTATACTAACAATGCAATTTGTAGGCCACGCTGGTAACATTTAGCATAAGTAGCAAATGACCAACAATTAAACCCGGTAAATTTAAAGTCCAGTACTCAAGTTATACCTCTTATTCGTTAAATCATCATTCCAGTTACAGACATCTTAACACAGAATATGATCCACAATAGGGTAAAGCTTTTGGAAATAACACCATTTGTATACCTACGGGCAGAGCCAATACTTTAAATACCTTAAGACGGTGGACAACCGTCATTCCTCTGTCATTACACAAGGTCTCCAAACTATCAACCGTCATTCCTCTGTCCTTACACAACATCTCCAAAATATCAACCGTCATTCCTCTGTCATTACACAAGGTCTCCAAACTATCAACCGTCATTCCTCTGTCCTTACACAACGTCTCCAAACTATCAACCGTCATTTGTCTGTCATTACACAACGTCTCCAAACTATCAACCGTCATTCCTCTGTCATTACACAACGTCTCCAAACTATCAACCATCATTCCTCTCTCATTCCACAACGTCTCCAAACTATCAACCGTCATGCCTCTGTCATTACACAACGTCTCCAAACTATCAACCGTCATTCCTCTGTCCTTACACAACGTCTCCAAACTATCAACCATCATTTCTCTGTCCTTCCACAACGTCTCCAAACTGTCAACCGTCATTCCTCTGTCATTACACAACGTCTCCAAACTATCAACCGTTATTCCTCTGTCATTACACAACGTCTCCAAACTATCAAGCGTCATTTGTCTGTCATTACACAACGTCTCCAAACTATCAACCGTCATTTGTCTGTCATTACACAACGTCTCCAAACTATCAACCGTCATTTGTCTGTCATTACACAACGTCTCCAAACTATCAACCGTCATTCCCCTGCCATTCCACAACATCTCCAAACTATCAACCGTCATTCCTCTGTCATTACACAAGGTCTCCAAACTATTAACCCACCTACGGCATGACCATCAAACCCACCTACGGCATGACCATCAAACCCACCTACGGCATGACCATCAAACCCACCTACGGCATGACCATCAAACCCACCTACGGCATGACCATCAAACCCACCTACGGCATGACCATCAAACCCACCTACGGCATGACCATCAAACCCACCTACGGCATGACCATCAAACCCACCTACGGCATGACCATCAAACCCACCTATGGCATGACCATCAAACCCACCTAGAGTGCTCCCAACCTTGAGTGTTGTCAGAGCAGGGGTCGTTGTGGCGGGGGATTCACTGCAGGCCCCCAGCAACTCGTAGCCCACCTGGGTCAGCTTGAGATGCTGGCCCAGGTGTGCGGCCAGGTCGTTTGTCTTGTTCAAAAGTTGGTACAGTTTAATTATGGCCTGCGTACAGAAGACGAATTTTCATGGAAACATGTTAATGCCATATAATTTTTAAAAATCTAAAAAACAAAGATTTTCTTATAAATTCTTCATAAAATGTAATAACGAGCAATGAAGGGTGGGGCTGAAAATTTGACAAAACATGAATTTACGAGTACCGCACTTAATAGAATCCAAATTAGTTTCCCCTCAAGGCTCGTAACCGCACATTTTTTTCACCCCCCTGAATTATATTAACATTCTAATGATCCACCTGCTTTTACACGCAGATTTATTTCACCAACTATTTCAGAAATACAACAGAAAATAGTACACATTTTAAAAAAATAAATATATTGATAGAATGTGTTGTCATCGGCAACGAGTCTTTGTGCTAAGTTTCAGCTCAACAGGTTGACGGGAAGTGGGTCAGTTAGCTGTCCGAAGATTTTGCCTGCCAGCCAGCCAGCCACAAAGAAACGTGAAGGCAATATCAATGATTTAAAAATACCCAGCTGGTCTTTTCACGTAATATTTGTTATACATTTACTTTAAATTTCTACTAATTTCTGTATGTCACGCTTACAAGCATTAAGTAATCATGTGTAGAACCCAACAATATTTCAGCAAAACCTCTAGGTGTCCACAGAACTGATACATACAACTGTTCTCATACATAATAAAACTTATAATGTCATCGTAATATAGTTTCAGGATGAATCATTTCAGCAAGTTATGTTTAAAAAAAAGTTGTAGAAATTTCCTCGAGTTTAACCCCACATGAACTTACATCTTTTCTACAGACTGTCCCACTCAAGGTGTTGTTGGTCCAAAACAATCTCAGCGACCCCTGACGCACATTCAGGACTGTGACATATTTAGCTCCCGTGTCACCAAAGTAGCTCCCAATACGATAAGCCAGGTTTGTGATGTTTCTTCTGTTTCTCATGAACTGCTGAAAGTCTACATCAAAGCTCATGTTGAATCTGACGACACGATAAACAAAGAGAGAGAGAGGGAAATAAAGTGAATTCGTTATGGAATTTAATTCTCTAAAAATATAGGCCATAAACCAGGGCTGAGGAGGGCCTTAAACCAGGGCTGAGGAGGGCCTTAAACCAGGGCTGAGGAGGGCCTTAAACCAGGGATGAGGAGGGCCTTAAACCAGGGCTGAGGAGGATCTTAAACCAGGGCCGAGGAGGGCCTTAAACCAGGGCCGAGAAGGGTCTAAACCAGGGCCAAGGAGGGCCTTAAACCAGGGCCAAGGAGGGTCTTAAACGAGTGCCAAGGAGGGTCTTAAACCAGGGCTGAGGAGGGCCTTAAACCAGGGCCAAGGAGGGCCTTAAACCAGGGATGAGAAGGGTCTTAAACCAGGGCTGAGGAGGGTCTTAAACCAGGGCCAATTAGGGCCTTAAACCAGGGATGAGGTGGGCCTTATATTTATCAACTTCAACTCAGTCTTGGACCCAGTAGGCCCATTTATAAATTCCTACGAAATGAATCACCAAATTAAAGTTATTTGAGTTCACAAAGTATCAGAAATTTTTTAATGACAAACTCCTCGATTCTAAAGCCATTGCATCAACTATGTGAGTACAAAATATTTATATTCATGTATATTCAAGTTTTTACTCAAGTATACGTTGTTATTGTATCAAACTTCAAACCATTTATTACCCATTAGGTTTTACTTCACATACAAAGCTTGGAAGTAATGTTACATCATAACTTATTTATTTAATCAACAAAAGGAAAAATGTACAGATTCTCATTCAGTTTACTTTGGTGTGATGGCAATGTTAGAACAGTCATTTCTTGATCTGAACATGTAGAAGATCAATAACTCATATTAAGGCTTGGGGTGGAGGGGAGGGAGCAGGTCATTTATCTAAACAAATATGAATAGATAACACCACCAAAACTACAGAACTGCATTTAAAAACCCTTTACCCTTTGTTATAGCCTGTGTGCTGACCTAGTTTTTGTGCACCCTGCATGGTGTGTATTGTTTTTTTTTAATACTGACATATTTTTGACCCACCCCCTTCCGAACCGCCCTTGATTGGGAAATATTGTTTACGTTTCCAGAAGGGTCTGCACAGAAAGACACAAAAAAAAAAAAAAAAAACTCTGGCATTTGAATGTCTAGACTTTCCTTCTGGAGGGCTCTGACTCTCTCACTATAAATATGACGGTCCACTGTGACCGGCAGACTTACCACACTCGCAGGAGCCCTACAAGGATCACACCATTTCTTACTGTGTGTGTGTGTATTAATATTTCTACCTTTCTAGCATTATAATGATTATACTTTATTGACTTGCTTTGCTGAAAGTTAATATCGTTTTCATTTTTGCATGTTTCATTTTGTATTTTGATATCAGCTTAATAGTATAATTTAATTGATTATTGTTAATATCACTAGCTTTGGTGTCGTTATTTTATGTATTCTGGTCTTCAGCCCATTGTTACATATTACTCATCTAACAAGACGAAATCTTAAAGCAGATTGAATTTGTAAAGCCATATAACTTTACGTAACACTCCATTCTTTAAAAAAACAACCACCATGCAAGAGCATATTCTCCGAACTTACTGCTCTCGTCTGAGCCTGGACTTACCGGTGGGTCACATCCCTGGGACTTTCACCACTTATGAGCAAGGTTATGGTGGTCCTCTCTGACAGGCCACCGGAATCAGTGGCCACCAGGTTCACCGACAGATTGCCCATGTCCTCTGGCAGTGGTAGGCCCTTCAGAACCTGCACAGGAACATCACAAAATATCAATAAGGTGACAAAGAATAAGTATGTATGGTGAGATTAAGCCAGTGTAGTGAGTGCGGTTTAAAAACATGAAACCTCTTCAGACACGGCACCTAAAAACCTCTCAACCAGGGTAACTAGCCCACACATATTAAAACCCTCTCAACCAGGGTAACTAGCCCTCACATATTAAAACCCTCTCAACCAGGTAACTAGCCCTCACATATTAAAACCCTCTCAATCAGGGTAACTAGCCCACACATATTAAAACCCTCTCAACCAGGGTAACTAGCCCTCACATATTAAAACCCACTCAATCAGGGTAACTAGCCCTCACATATTAAAACCCTCTCAACCAGGTAACTAGCCCACACATATTAAAACCCTCTCAACCAGGTAACTAGCCCACACATATTAAAACCCTCTCAACCAGGTAACTAGCCCTCACATATTAAAACCCTCTCAACCAGGTAACTAGCCCACACATATTAAAACCCTCTCAACTAGGTAACTAGCCCACACATATTAAAACCCTCTCAACTAGGGTCACTAGCCCACACATATTAAAACCCTCTCAACCAGGGTAACTAGCCCTCACATATTAAAACCCCTTCAACCAGGGTAACTAGCCCAGACATATTAAAACCCTCTCAACCAGGGTAACTAACCCTCACATATTAAAACCCCTTCAACCAGGGTAACTAGCCCTCACATATTAAAACCCTCTCAACCAGGGTAACTAGCCCACACATATTAAAACCCTCTCAACCAGGGTAACTAGCCATCACATATTAAAACCCTCTCAACCAGGTAACTAGCCCTCACATATTAAAACCCTCTCAATTAGGGTAACTAGCCCACACATATTAAAACCCTCTCAACCAGGGTAACTAGCCCTCACATATTAAAACCCTCTCAATCAGGTAACTAGCCCACACATATTAAAACCCTCTCAACCAGTTAACTAGCCAATAAATATTAAAACCCTCTCAACCAGGTAACTAGCCAACAAACATTAACCCCCCCCCACTTTTTTTTTTAAAGCAGGGCGGCCGGCAAACAAACATTTTAAAAAATATGTCTTCTCAACAATAACCGTTGCCTGAAACGATAACCCAACCCCATCTACCCACACACACTCCCACCAATCCACACCCCCACTCACTTGACTACTGTAAGCCGAGCCAGGCAACACGAAAAGCAACTCATCATTATCATGAAAGCACTGGGAGATATAAATCAAGACCTTTGTTCCTCCACTGAAATGCGATGTACATAAACGTCTGCTTTCATCAATCGCTTTGGTTCAAAAAGAAAAAAAAAAAGTCTCTTTGCTGGCCCGATAATTACTTTTATAATAGTTGCCCAATAATACGTTGGGTCGCGTGCATCTTTAGCGTTGGCTTGGTGCAATGGTTAAACGTTTTTTGATGTATATTTAGCTTGATGCACTGGCTAAACATGTTTTGATGCATCTTAAGCTTTGGCCTGATTGGAGCACTGACTAAACGTGTCTTGTTGTATCTTTAGCCTTGGCTTGATGCACTAGTTAAACCTATTTTGATATTGTATCTTTAGCTGTGGCCTCATTGATGCACTGGCTAAATATGTTTTGATGTACATTTAGCTTTGGCTTCATGAATTCACTGGCTCAATATGATTCGATGCATTGGCTAAGCATCAATTGAAGCACCGTAGCGTTGGCTTGATGCGCGGGCTCAATATAATTTGACCAATGTCTTTGTTTTACTCCGGCTAACACATGGTATGTGCTAAGATACACGAATTCTGAATAGCACTGCATTTTAAGTCTTATTAAAGACCGTTATTCTTTTAATTTTCCTCGAAATATTTGGTCATGGTGTGGAGGACCGAAAACCGTGAAAGTCCAAGTAGCAGTTGTTGTTGTTGTTTTTTTTCTTTCTACATCTCTTCACCCGGAAACCACAGAATATTAGAGAAATGTTTCTGGGATCTATGACAGTAATTAATTTGTCGAAAAATTCATCACAATTTTGGGCATTAGCTCTTACACTTACAGTGACAGAAAGACGACGACAGTAAACAAAAACGCTAACAGCACTATGTAGCTGAAATGTTTAGATAGCAATTTTTAACCAGACAAAGCAAGGCAGACTTTCTGAACAATCTTGTGGAATAACACAGGTCTGCGCACTTGTTGATAACAACTTATTTATAGTGATTATTTTATTTGTTAAATTTAAATTATTAGTATTTTTTTTTTAATTTTCATTTTTTGTTGTAAAAACTAGACACTGGACTGCAGGAGCGAGCTAAATTAGTTAAAATTTGATAAGCCCCTTTGATATTAAACCTAAACACAGGTTTTCTGAGAAAGCCGACAATGTTTGCCCGTTACCTGCGAGCCATGGTCCAGGTAGAGCCAAAAGTTTGTGGGCAGTTCTTGAGTTGGGGTCAGCTCCAGGGACAGTCTTAGAGACCGAGTGTTGCCATCTTCCACATCGATGAAAACTTCCGGTGGGATGGCAAACTTAAAGACCCTTCCACGCTCTCCGATGATTTGAGGGATGGGGTTCTTAACATAGGGCCTGTTGTTGATGTACAATTCATCTGTGGATTGAAAAGTCGGATGGGGTTCTTAACATAGGGCCTGTTGTTGATGTACAATTCATCTGTGGATTGAAAAGTCGGATGGGGTTCTTAACATAGGGCCTGTTGTTGATGTACAATTCATCTGTGGATTGAAAAGTCGGATGGGGTTCTTAACATAGGGCCTGTTGTTGATGTACAATTCATCTGTGGATTGAAAAGTCGGATGGGGTTCTTAACATAGGGCCTGTTGTTGATGTACAATTCATCTGTGGATTGAAAAGTCGGATGGGGTTCTTAACATAGGGCCTGTTGTTGATGTACAATTCATCTGTGGATTGAAAAGTCGGATGGGGTTCTTAACATAGGGCTTGTTGTTGATGTACAATTCATCTGTGGATTGAAAAGTCGGATAGGTCTTTAACATAGGGCCTGTTGTTGATGTACAATTCATCTGTGGATTGAAAAGTCGGATGGGGTTCTTAACATAGGGCCTGTTGTTGATGTACAATTCATCTGTGGATTGAAAAGTCGGATGGGTTTTTAACATAGGGCCTGTTGTTGATGTACAATTCATCTGTGGATTGAAAAGTCGAATGGGTCTTTAACATAGGGCCTGTTGTTGATGTACAATTCATATGTGGATTGAAAAGTCGGATGGGTCTTTAACATAGGGCCTTTGTTGCTATACAATTGATCTGTTGATTGAAAAGTCGGATGGGGTTCTTAACATAGGGCCTGTTGTTGTTGTACAATTCATCTGTGGATTGAAAAGTCGGATGGGTCTTTAACATAGGGCCTTTGTTGCTATACAATTGATCTGTTGATTGAAAAGTCGGATGGGGTTCTTAACATAGGGCCTGTTGTTGATGAACAATTCATCTGTGGATTGAAAAGTCGGATGGGTCTTTAACATAGGGCCTTTGTTGCTGTACAATTGATCTGTTGATTGAAAAGTCGGATGGTATTTTTAACACAGAGCCTGTTGTTGTTACACAATTGATGGCGGATTTAAAAAAAAGTGATGACTTTTTAACATAGGGCCTGTTGTTGTTATACTATAGATCTGTGAATTTGAAAAGTGTTGAGGTTTTAATTGGGCGAATACAAATTTACGGAAGTATATTGAGAGAGGTAAACAACACATGCAAAGTTACATTTTGACCAATCAATAAAATCATTCAAAATGTACTGTTAAAACTATCACCAGAAAATTGTCCAAATTGAGGGAAAAAAAAAAAAAAAGATTAATCTGAAACTAATTTTGAACACCACAATCAGTAAAGTAATTCAGGACGGTAAAATTTTCTTTCAGATCTTAGCCACTAAACTTTTGATATTTCTCATAAAGCGTTTTTTTTTTTGTTTTGCAATGATTTAACAACATGCCACTATTAAAAATGGAAACTGCGTTTAGGATGATATTATTTTAAGCTCACCAGAGTCCCCTTTCATATGTTATTTATAATCATCATGATTAGAGAGGCTTTACCTTCGGTTATGTCCGACCAATCAGATGTTCTGGCTGAGTCAGGTGTTGTGGTAAGTCGAGGTGTTGACTTCTTGGTGGTCACTTTTGTTGTGTTGGCTGCTGTTGTTGTTGGTGGTGAGGTTGCTTTGGCCGCTGCTGTTTGCGAAGGTGTTCTGGATGTCATCGTTGTGTGTGATGATGTTCCGGCTGTGGTCGTTGACGATGTTCTAGGTGGTGCTGTTGTCATCACTTTGGCAGAGGATGCCTGCACAGGGACGACTGCCACGGTCATAGATGAAACCTCGAGTATTGCAGAACTGGACAGAATGATTTGGCCCGAGGTTGTCCCCAGCATCGTGATATGAGAATCGGCAGACATTGAACTTGAAACCGAGATGTTGTCAAGAATGACGGTGACGTGATCGTGTGCCTCGCTAGAAGCACCATGGACGTGTTCAGTCCTAGTGTGCTGTGTGGCATCAACAGACGTGTCCAAACCTGCCAGGAAAATCTCAGAGGTCCCCGATTGCTGCGCGGCGTCCCAGGTGAAAACAACAGATGGCATGTCGGGAAACGAAGACAAGGTGGCACTGATAACTTCTGATGTCTCATCCCGCCTCGAGTCCATGTGTGACCAGGTGTCAGGAAGTAAAGTCTCTGTTGTAGTAACAGGTTCAGACGGCTCAGTCCATGTGGGGTGGACAGAGGACACAGAGCTCGGCTCAGCCAAGACTTGGGTAAAGTCTGCAGAGATCTCAGCGATGGAGGCTATAATGTCAGACGCATTTACAGTTGCCCTTGAATCAGACAGTACGACCGTTTCTTCACCACTGTCCATCGCAACGGGTTTTATTTGGTGAAGTATTGTTAGAGATTCAGTCAGTACTGGTGGGTCATTGTCTGCAACGTCATCATGAGTTTCTACGCCAGTGTATGGGAGTTCCGAAAAAGATGAAGCCACACCTAGGCGACTAGACAAATAGCCTGGAGTCACGGCTGGAGTCGCATCTAGACGAAGACGAACAGACCTAGCTCCGTGTAGACTTTGCCCTGAAGACAGTTCTTCATCGTCAGAGACATGTACTGTCCCCAGTTCTTCATCGTCAGAGACATGTACTGTCCCCAGTTCATCTGAAGATGGATCTAAAATTAAAGACTGGCTTGCGGACAGATCTACAATGGACGCTGACGAATACAATTCTGGGTGGTCATAAACTGGAACTCTAGACGGTGCGATAATCTCAACAATTCTTGTTTGCACCAAGTGTGGAGGTGGTGGGTCGGGCGTCAGGACCGAATGCGCTGTTAGGGGGGACGACGGGCGGAGAGCATCACCAGCTAGATTATCCTCATATAACTGAGCTGATTTATGATGTATAATTGTTGATCTTTGGTCGGCGAAAATTTCTGAGGTTGTCACGAATGACGTTTGGAATTCGACATCGCCCACTGCTGGAAATGGATCTGTTGAAATGTAGCTGGTTTCAGTGGGTTCTAACGTTAGCTTGGATGGACCCGTAACTCTGGTGCCAACGTCTGGTTGGGCGCTGGCGACCGGTGGTTGTTGGGTGGATGCCACAATGTCTTTCAAAAATGCACTGGTTTGAGGAAGTCGGTCCAAAGATGGTGATGTGAATAGAAAGGAAGACAGGATTAGGGACTCCGTGCTTAAATTATATGATGGACTGTCAGAAATGCTGATGGGTAGACTAGAGGATAAACTGGAGGACAGCAACGGCCAAACCTCTGATGGTAACTGATCAGATTTAGTCTCAGGTGATTCGGCGGCAGAAGGCACTTTGACACTTGACGACTTTAACATCGATACAGTAGATGTTGATGCAGTAGACGTCGATACAGTAGATTTTGATACAGTAGATGTTGATACAGTAGATATTGATGCAGAAGACGTTGAAGCAGCTGACTTTGATGCAGAAGACACTGGTGCAGCAAACGTTGCTGCACTAGACATTGGTGCTGAAGACGTTGATGCAGCAGACGTTGATGCAGCAGACGTTGATGCAGCAGTTGTTGATGCAGCAGACGTTGATGCAGTTGGCGTTGATGCAGTTGACGTTGATGCACTAGACATTGATGCAGCAGACGTTGCTGCACTAGACATTGGTGCTGAAGACGTTGATGCAACAGACGTCGATGCAGCAGACGTTGATGCAGTTGAAGTTGATGCACTAGACATTGGTGCAGCAGACGCTGATGCAGCAGACGTTGGTGCAGTTGACGTTGATGCAGCAGACGTTGGTGCAGTTGACGTGGGCGCCAGAGTTGCCAAGACTTCATCACTAATGTAGTGACTAGAGACCTGATACATCGTAGGCTTCACCATTGCAATGGAAGGGGTTGGAATAAGTGTGTGATGGGGTACCGCCCTCCGCTTCCGATTCTGCCTCGTGTGCAGAGAATTGGACGAAGCTATGTACCACCCCACGACTCCGTGGCCCAGTTCCTCCTGGAGCCGGCCGCCGTCCACATTGTGCTGTAAGACACGAACAAAGTCCGTCAAGTGTTTGACGGACGAACACGGCAGCGGCCACACAACCTCGAGGATCTGATCAAGACGACACAGGTCATCGGAGCCGGGCCCGGCGGAGACCATCTGAAATCCCCTCTCTATGACCACGAGAGAATGCGTGGAAGACGGCTCCATAAGGATGGACATCATTGGAATGGTCAGAAACTCGGCAAGCTTGGCGACAAGAGAAATCCTGTCCCGGGACTGTAGGTGATCGCTGTCAACACACAGCACGAGGCTGGCGATCAACCTGTCCCCGTCACAAACATAGTCCCCACCAGGTTGCTGGTTCGCGAACTCGCCATCGGGAGACCACCGGTGCAACGCCGGGTTGGGCAGAGGTGTCCAGGAATGTTCTAGTGAAAGTTTGGTCACCGTTATTTGAAATACATCCGACCTGGGTGTACATGTTTGGTCCGGTCCTGATGCCGTGTGGCTCTGGTCGTCGTGTTTCAAGCCGCATTTGCTTGTGACAGACAGAAGTAATGGAGATCGGACATTGGATAAGGGGAGGCCAATCAACGAACGTCTTGTAGTGTTGAAGATAAGCCAAGACGGGAGTGGTTCTCCAGACGCAAGGGAAATCTGCGGGTTTAAAAAAAATGGGAACAATTACTATATAATTCGTAGATCTATTTCTTGTACGGACTAAAAAAACATCAACGAAGCAGAGTATTGGCAAACGTGAAAAAAAATGGCGCAACGAAACAAACTACTGACTATAATGGGTATGTTTTATGAGACTGACAGCCCTTTGTCAAATTTACTACACTAAACAATTTTCAAAAGTTTTTTTTTTTTTTTAAACTGTGCTCAAATGCTTTAAGAGACATTGCAGTACTGACAACACTGAACTTTTTTTAGTAATGACCGTAAGGCACAGCGTGACGAGGATGCTAGTCAAGTGTAATTTGATCGACACGGTGGCCATTCAGACAGGTCATTAATGTCTCTGTCATAAGCTTTGTCATTCGGGCAGCAAAGGGGGACAAAAGTGAATGTTTACACTGAGGCTGTACTTTATTGTTATACTCAAGGATCTGGCGTCGCTCTCATCGTTGATGACAAAAGTACACTGCCTCCATGATTATATCCTGGAGCGAGCAGACGTAATGTTGTTGTTGTTTGTGTTTTTAAACGTACTTTTATGAAGGGGTACTTTGTTTCTTGGAGTGGACAGAAATAGCTCATTGAGAAACAGTATGAAAATAATTGGATTCTGTTTTAGCTGTCGTGGTTGGATGTGGTCATTAAGGTCTAAGGTTACTTAGATAGGCCTCTGAGTTTAATCAAACTAGAGTTCTTATGGGGGGCGTGGGGGGGGAAGGGGGGTGGGGGGGGAACAACAAAAAGTCAATTAGCATTTTGGACTTCATCAAAGAATGAACGAATGCTTTTGAATTATGTGGTGGGTCACTGTAATAGTTAGATATCAAACAGTGACTTATTTTAATATCAACATTCACAATATCCACAATAATATATATATATATATATATATATATATATATATATATATATATATATATATAT